AATCGAGAAACAATCTCATATTCTCCAACCGACACTTCACGGTGGAAGAGACGACACTCAAGGCAATCTCCGATGCCAAAGAATGGTTATTGGGTCAAGATACAATTGAAAAATCGCAGCCCCTGAACCCAGAACGATCGCAACATAGATCAGAAGGAGTTACCTTTAGATGCTATACGGACGCGGCTTGGAGAAGTGATACGCAGACGGCGGGTCTCGGCTGGATCTTCCAGAACCAACACGATCAAATCATCTATCAAGGTTCTATGGCAAAACCTTATATCTCCTCACCTCTAATGGCAGAAGAAATGGCAATCCACAAAGCTCTACTACAAGCGACGAATTACGGACTGCAAAACCTCCGATTGGCTTCAAATTCACAGATCCTCATCAATCTGATCACTTTGAAGAATCAACAATCATAAATCTATAGAATTCTCTATGATATTTTGATTTTATCTCTCAATTTACATGTAACATTTGAATATGTTTAAAGGGGAAAAAAATGTTAAAACTGATAACCTAGCAAAATCGGCTCTATCTTTGTACTTGGTTCATCCCGGTTCACAACCGGTTTAGTTTCAATTAAATCATAATTTCGACCCACAAAAAAAAGGAAAAAGATTTTACAAAAACCAATAATAAGAAATTGATAGACTTTTTAAAGAATATATTTTTTCTCTTTTAAACACAATTACAAACTTAGACTATTATTTAGTGAGATTTTAAACTTCATATGTTAAGATAATCAAAATTAAATATATGTGTAGACTACTATTTACAAACATAATATACTATAAATATTTACAATAGATGATTAAACTATATGAGAAAAGAGAATTTAGTGCATGGTTTGATGAAAAAGACAAAATATGTGAGATAAATAAGAGTAAATTGAAAGACGAGATTCTAAGAAGCAAATTTGATATAAACTACAACACAATCATAGAAACTTCACAAAGACAAGTAGTTGTTATATACTTATATGTCACCAAAAAGAACTTGAAAACAAATTAGATGTCAAGAGGTAAACGAATGCATTTGGGAATATGTCCAAAAAATGACTCTAAAAAATTGTTTAAAGAAAATTTTTACTAAAGCACACAAATATATGTGCACAAAATTAAAGTAAAATATGTTTGATCTCATTCATTATAATGATGGGTCAATGATCAACATCAAAATCTCTTAAAAAATATTTTCGTAGGACTGCAATAGGAAAGTACTCTCTTTTGAATAAAAGATAGTGGGATGGTTGTTAATGTAGTTTCTCTTTCAGTTAGGTTTTAAACTAATTTAAAAAAATATATATTATGAAAAATATGTATATTCTATATTACTTGCTAAATAAATTTTGTATTTAATATAAATATTCATTTTGATTTCTTGGAAACTTAAAAAAAAAATGAAATGGTTATGTTATATTCAGATATTTATTTTGTTAAAATTTTAATCTAAAATATCTGGATTATGTTTTATGAGTTGGATTATGTCCGGATAATGTTTAATTGAATACTAAACAACGATTTAATTTGACTAAGATTAGTTAAATACAAACATTAATATATCTTCCCAACTATGGAAGAACTATTATCATTTATAGTCTTCCCTCTTTTACTTTCTCAAGTTTTAGGGCTTTGACTCTTCTTCTTCCCTCTCTAGAGACTCTTCCACTCCACAACCATCTTTTCTAGGTAAGATTCTCTCGAGAAAACCCTTTTCTCTTTGTTGGCATTATCGAATGCTTGAAATAAAATCTGAGTTTTAACCGCACAATCTTCGTTTATCACCTAACTTCATCTCTTATATATGCTTTGAAATCCTCTGAAACCCATTTCGATTTCAATGATCTGGGTTCGACGCTGGTTCGATCTCCAATTTTGCATGTTAATTCTGGTCTTATCTCTCTCTCTCTCTCCATCGTTTCAATATTCTTTTGTTGATCAATACAAATTGCTTTTGAACCACTAAAGTCTGGGTTTTTAGGGCTTCTACGGAATCAGTGATTATTTAGTTTATGAGTATGGATTAAATTGCAGAAAAGATATCGATGGTGTTTGCCTTGTGTTGTTTCAGGTTAGGGTTTTGAAGAAGTGTAAAGATTCTCCAAAATCAGAGAAGAGAAGGCAAATTCATTTTGTTTACAAGCAGTTATGTTTGGTCAAGAGGGAACAATTTCGATAGAGCATGAAATCTTGAAGGAGAATCATGAGACTTTGGTGAGAGATTATCAAAGTCTTGAAGAGAGGATTAAGCTTGAAGAGGAAACTTATGAGATCATGAAGAAGCATCTACAAAGCAAAAGTAAGGAACTTGAGGTTACAAATGTCCGCTTGTTC